AATCGGAAGGCGAGCGAGAAACACATTCATCAACCCGAAACAACCAATCTGGAAATCGTCGTCACTCAGCCAGCATCAACAACAAAATCCAGTCGGATTTTCAATACAAACAAAGTCAAGTCAGTCAGTTCTTCTATTCGGATCAGAAACTTGGCGGGCGGATCACAAAGAGTATTTCCAACAGCCTGTTGCAGACCTTTATCAACCAACAACTGTCTTCGCTGTATCTATACTGAAGATCAGAACAGAATGGCCGGGCCGGAAACAATCACCAACAAGAAACTATGGACACAAACAAACGAAACAAGAAGCAATCGACAAACCAACAAATATGCAGGAGATGGAGTGGAGATGGATGGATTGGACACTCGGTGAGGAGGCAGGCCACTGGGTGACATCTTGCTCGCGTCAGGCCATTGCTCGAGTGGAACCATACCGAAAGGGAAGCAGCGAGTTGGATGTCAGTGGAAGGCTGACATGGAGGAGATGGTGTGAAGAGGGGTTGAAACAGTGTGTACTAAGATGGATGCAGGTGAAAAGTACAGCAGAAGACAGAAGTGGCAAGTGGAGACGTGGAGTTAAAGCCCAATGTTCCACTCTTGACCCAAGGGAACAATAATAATAATAGATGTAATAACTTATTGAAAGTGGACTACATAACAAATAAGTTCATGCATTACTACGGAAATTCGGTAGTAGATAAATTCAAGTGTGATGCCTGACCTCTGTATCACCTAGTTTCAAATCGTATTAATTTTAATTGGTTTTACAGAGTTAGTTGTAGACTTCTTTACCTCTGTGTGAATACGAATTCAGATGGTCTCTTTTCTGATTGGAAATATTAGGAATCTTTTCATTTTAAAGTTTGAATTCAGCGGACGTAAACAAGTCGTATCACGTTATCATCGTTTCCCTTTCCAGCCATATTATGCATACAAATAAGTGTATCTTCAACTTTTTTCTGTTCTTCATATTTTACATTATACATTTTATTACACATTTTGTAAGTAAAATGTTAGCCCCGTTGGCGGCCTTCTTAAATTTGGCCTACTGAAAAATCCCATCTATATTTCTCAGATATTTTCTCCCGATCATAACCTTTAATTACTTTTTATAATCTAGCGATTATTCAATGCGTTTGCAGTTTTGCTCATTCGCAAGTTTCTAGTTATCCTGAGAGAAAAAAAACATAGTCTTGGGTTGATGTGTACTGCATTACAAGAAATAGCTGTTCATGGGTTGTGTGTCCTTGGTTCACGGAAAGCATTCCTGTCCTTTCTTAATTATCATCCAACCGAATTACATGCATTTATCGAAGAAGACAAATTTCTTAGTTTACACTGCACATCAGACAGAAGCGCTTCACCTGGTCTACTGCTAGGTGATACGTCAAACTCTTTTAAATTTTGAGTTTCTTCAACTATGATCTTAACTTATTAATAACGAAACTCAACTCATATTCACCGATGGTATGTATGATAGTATTTAAGTGGTGGATGGTGACTAGCAATGGAATCCAGGATAATGCGCATTTCGTCCTATTTGGGAATCGTCGTTAGCTGAATGTACCTGCACTTCTCAGTGAGTGATAATGTTCCCACCGAGGCTCGAACCCAGTGCCCATAGTTTCAAACGCCAAAGCGTTATCCAGTAAACCACTTGGGCCACGAGAACTACCTCTTGTGCAACGGGTCATAATTATTTACTTTGAAACTATGGGCATTGGGTTTGAGCCTCGGTGGGAACACCATCACTCACCCAAAAATGCAGGTACATCCAGCTAATGACGCTTCCCAAATAGGACAAAATGCGCGTCATCCTGGATTCCATTGCTAGTCACCATCCACCAATTAAATACTAACTAAATTCCCAGACATTGTTGAAGCATCTGAACAAGAAGCCGATGTGTCAACCTGAGACCGAGAACTTCAGTCCAATCATTCGACGGGAAAATCTCAAATTCAATTAAATGTATGATAGTATGTTTAGAAACAAGCAAGAGTGAAAGTTTGCATTAATTTATAGGCATATACAAAGATATGTACGAACACACACGCACACATGAGTCTTCTTACTTCATACCACAAATTTCTTTTCTTTTTTTAGTTATATGTAAACTGACTGCATCTAATCCAATGCCTTGTACTTCCTGTAAATCCTTTAACATGAAAATTAGTCTTCATAACGAATTTGAAAAGGATCAATGCATTACTTGACTTAGTTTCATGATTTTCTTTTTCTCTTGTAATTAAAAATGTGTTGTTCATCGTGTTTTAACAGGCATTGCATAAATTTTTGTATTTATTTTTAGATAATTGATGGAGTGTTTTAAACTAGGTATTCGTGTATTCAATCTGTAGGCAATAGATTGCCTTTCAGGTTAAATGTCGTAACGAAGAAAATAAAAGATAAATTCAGCGAAAGAAAATTTTCTTTATCGACGAAATCATCTTCAGAGGCTGTACAATCGTATATATACTTACCAAAAGTGCATACTGGTCTATTATTGAGTAAAAGGGGGTGACATAAGGGATATAATTACTCGGAAGTGGATTTTGAAGTAAAAAAAAATTAAAAGTTGTCAATTACGTGGTACTCCCCATATCACACTACTGCCGAATGGCTCGCAGACAGCCTCTTACCTATCAGAAATAACCTTTGCAAGCATAGTGTTTTTTTGATTTATTTGAGTTCGTCGATTCAATAAGTGATGCTAATGTATCCGGGAAGAAAATGACATCTATAGATGTTACTTCCCCTTTCACCAATGTCTCCCTCACTGAAACTATCTGCTTTATATGCAAATTCCTAGAGGATAATAATGTAGACGTGTGTGTTCCGATCCACTACTTAAAGGGATTACTATTGAGATGCACTTTAAACGTCCAATTCAAGTTCAACAACACGCTTCATAGACGAAGAGATGGAGTGGCAATGGGATCACCATTGGGTCCTTTACTTGCAGACTGCTTCTTGGCTAGTTTGGAGAATAGTATTTTACAGCCTACTATCAATAGTTTCCATTTGTACCAAGGATACATGGATGATACTTTCATCATATGTGACGACAATATAGACATCGAATTTATAACTAAAGAGTTCAACAGTTGCCATCATGCCATCCATTTCACGTCGGAATCAGAGATGAACTCGGAATTCTGTATTCTGGATGCTTTTCTAAAAAGGAGATCTAATGGTTCTTTTCGAAGATCGATCTACAGGAAACCAACATGGAATGGTCAGTACACAAATTTTCATAGCTGTGTCCCTTTGAGAAGAAAGAGAAACCTGATCCATTCCTTATCCTCAAGAATAAGAAGGATATGTTCCAGTGATACAGTTGATGGGGAGCTGGGGCTACTCAGACAAGTTCTCATAGAGAATGGATCTCCTCCAAGATATATTGAGAAAAACATGAAGTTAAGAGAAAAGCCTGAAAGAACCCAGACTGTGCCGAAGAAACTGATATTTATGAGTGATGAATTTAAAAGTGATACTGCAGCTGAGATCTTGAAGAATCGCTTATGCAGATCACAGAAGAAATCCTTCTTTATGGCTGAGCTATGTATCAATTTCTACAGCTGGCAAATAATCAATGAATGTTTGAAGGATAAACTGCCGCTTCGGGCCACCTGCTCATGTGCAGCTAGTTATATTGGCCGTAAAAAGCGCACACTTTCGAAATGCATCTCTGAACATTATCCGGCATGGTCAGCAAAGGAAGAATGCAAGATAGTTACTAGTTCAATTTTCGAGCACTTGGCGAACTAAGGCCACGCAGCTCCAACAGAGTTTTCTTTCAAGATCATCTACACGATGAAGCCAAATGGTACAAAGGGCGTCAGGTTTCGGCTTTTGTGTGTGGCGGAGGCGCTGGCGATTCGTCAATACAACTCCAAACTCTGTATTTAGAAAAAGTTTATCTAGTCTCTTATTTCACATTGATCTTAACCTCTTCACGAGTCGTTCCTTGTAAAAAAAATTTGATTTTTTCTCTTCTTTTTTAATTTCTAATTTTACTTTTAGTTTGCTTTTATATATGTGTAAAACTTGGGCACTGTGGTATTAAGTAATTCCATATTAGTTTGATTATTAAATGTATCACACAGTGAAACAGTATTGTATACTGTATACAGTATACAATACTGTTTCACTGTGTGATACATTTAATAATCAAACTAATATGGAAAGTTTGCTTTTACTTTAATAATTAGTTCATTATTATCACGCTGATATGTTTCTTTTTATATATTTTCACAACCTCTTCATACTTGTTAAATTGACGCTCAACTGCCTTTGTTCTCTCTTAATAGCAATTTTAACCTTATCAAATTTCTTTGTTCCACATAATTTACAGCTTTTAATTTTTTTGCTTCTAAAGTCACTTCCGAGTAATTATATCAATTACTCATTAATAGACTACTATACATTTTTGGTAAATGTAAATACGACTGTACAGCCATCCTCTGAAGATGATTTCGTCGATAAAGAAAATTTTCTTCGCTGAATCTGTCTTCTATTTTCTTCATGACTCAATGAGTATTTTCAAACATTTAGAAATCTCTTGATAACAGCGAAAGAAATATTAGAAATTCAAAAGGTTTAAGACATTCACTCTTCCAGACACTTCCTCTTGAAGTATTAAGGGAACATACTTTTTATAGAAGTGCAAATCACTAGCTATTTTGAACTCATGTATTTCATTTTAATTGAAACTATGAGCAGTGGATTCGAGCCTCAGTGGGTATATCATCAGTCCCTGGGAAGTGCAGGTACATCCAGCTGACCATGAGTCTCAAATAGGATGAAATGCGCTTTATCCTGGATTCCACTGCTAGTCACTCACTATCCACCGATTAAAATAATGTGTTTCATTGTGAGAAATGTATATACACTTATGAAATAAGTAAGCCAGGTTATTAGTTTATGAAGTTTATTACGAGAAAAACAAAACACAGCAAAACTTGGGTATATTTGTGATAACATCATGCATTATTAATCTCTGAAAGAATAATTTCTTGAAACTAACACTTATAATGATCTGATGACTTGTCGTCTTTATGAAGAACATGGTGTTTAGCTTAACACTTCAAATGTATAATCTGTACAAAAGCGTTGGCGTATTCCTTATTATAAAAAGCATATATAAAAGGATTGAATATACTGTTTAAGTATCCGATCCATGTAACTACAGCATACAATTCCTCAGAAAATGTACAATCGCATAATGCCTCACCGAGATAGAAAGAGAAGAAAGGCGTCCAGCATAGAAAAAAACATCCCACCACTATTGTAACAATTCTTACACTCTTTTTCTCTCTGTTAAATATAGACTTTTCTTGATAACGATAGAATCTCACTCTGCTTTGTTTCCCTTTCTTTTTGTCAACCTTACTATTTATAGTTAGTGAAGAATGTTTTGAAATATTAGCGACTTGAGGTTTTGAATTACAATCATTGTGTTGTTCATCAGTCAAATGTTTAATACGCTCACCGGATTTTATAACTCCAAGATTGATTGCCTCAAAATTCGATTTTTTTCTACTATGATTTTCTGTATCAATGTTTTCTGGTTGAGTATGTATTTCATATTGTGAAGTAGGTACTTGAAATGTATGTAAAAGTTTTAAATTAGCATCAACTGGCTCTGGACTGTAAATTTTCATTTCTACAAGTGAACAGATACTGAATGTTTTATTCAGGGAATTCGAGTGCATTTCATTTGTTTGATGATCTTGTTCACTAGATTTGCATGTATAACTAAGTGTAGATGATTGGACGTTTGTGACACTTCGATTATAACTATCGATATCATCAGTAGTAGGTCTAGAACTGTCAGATTTTACATCTTTTTTTCTGATTTTACCTAATAATATACTTGGTTTTAGATGATCAGCGCACTGTTTAACATTAGAGTAGTGAAGACATTTTTCTAAACAAAATTCCCATAACCACTGACAACAATCTTGATTTCTTGGATTACGTTTATATTGTTGAAGTGTTTTTGATCTTGCTTTAATTATATAAAATATCCTTAAATGAACATATGCAATCACTGTTAAAGGGAAAAAATATCCTAACAAAGATGAGTAAATTCTATATCCCTTGTTAAAAGTTATATAACAACAACCAATACCAACTATATGTTTATCTGGTCCAATTAAAGGCGGCAGTATAACAATAATTGGCATAATCCAGGCTATTGCTATCATAAGAAATGAGTTACGACGACTTCGTCGTGTGATATACTTCAGTGGACGACTGATAGCTACATATCGGTCAACTGATATACAGCATAAATTCAGAATAGAAGCTAAGCATGTAAATATATCAGCAGATATATAAAACTGACATAAATAGATTGATTTGAATGGCCAGTAACCAAGATTTTGACGTATCACTGCAAATGGTAGGACAAAAAGGGAAACAAGTAAATCGGCTAATGCAAGTGAAGCTATATACTGGTCTGAAATCTTTCTTAGTTTGTTCACTGTAGCCACAGACAGAATGACTAATAAATTACCAATAAATGTGACTAGATTTATGAGAACTAACAATACGGTAATAATATCACTGATTAATTTCGAATCAGTAGATTTTGTGATTAGATTGCATAATGTATTACTTATGTTATCTTTGGAAATGTTGAATACGCTAGAAGAATTTATGATAGATGACATTTCATATTATATACGTTTATATATGCATATAATTGACACAATGTTTCACAAAAGAAAAAGAAATCTAAAGCAGTGAGTGAATCACCTCTAAAATGTTTACGTTATATAATGATTATTGAATGTATTATGCAATTTACAAATAAATTCATCGAATGTATAAATAATTCTAGACAATGTGATAATAATTCCTCAGGCGAATTGGCATTCCTTCAACAGTTTCAATTAATTGCGGTATATCCTTTAAAACAATCAAACTTAAGTGTATTAACCAATAGAAGCTAACGCCTTAACAATGATTTTCACCAATAAATGCCTAGAGTAATGAGCATGAAAAGGTAAAGCTATAATTCCACTGTATAAAGATGAAAAACATAATTCTCATATTTGTTGTTGCTATTGTTTTGCCATTGCTGCTGTTGTTGTTGTCGTATCTTTATATTGTTTATCTCAAAAAATAATTTGTCTGCCTACCTGTAAGTATGACCAGTTACACTTGTAAATGAAGCTTAAACTGGTTAGTTACATTCTATTCTACAGTAGCCTAATCCCATCTTCCAAGTAAAGTACATAAACCAGTAATCTGTACACAGCTTTTATATGCTCAGGATTTTCATCATGAGCTGACATTAGTTAGAGAACCATTGGAAATCTGAGAGTACTGGACAGCTGTTTCGTCCTAGCTCTTTGAGACTCTTCAGCAATACGTACTCACCACCAGCGATCGAACCCAGGACCTTCTGGTTACAAGGCGAGCTAGCTCGTAGACCATTTTGCCACTAAGACCCGATACCATAGCCAGCCCATGAATTCTAACTTCTGCCAATTCACGGCATAGCGCGACCCCTAGCCAATGTCTTCGGCGAGTATTTGTGTACACACCCAACCTGCCGCACCCTAATGGTCACAAAATCTCATTAGAATCCCAGGTAACTACCTAGCTGAAGAGGGCACGTCGCTAGTGAGCATCTCATTGATATTCAGGAGTTGGTTTGTAGGGAATTGATTGGTGACAGGATTTTCATCATCAGCTGACATTAGAGCAGATGAAAATCTTGTCACCAATCAAATCCCTACAAACCAACACCTGAATATTTATATATATATATATTAGCTTGCTGCTAACTAAGTGGTAGACAGACGTCGGTGGCACAGCGGTTAAGACGCTCCCCGACCATGCACATGGCCCGGGGTTCAATCCTCGGCCGATGCACTCCTTTACCTCGGTAAGCTAGTAAAGACGAAAGGTTGGGCATGAGGCCAGCAACCCCATCCTATAAATAACAAATAAACACTGCTACAGAAACTTCAAGCCTCTAGCTTGAAGCTCTGTGTTCCACTGGAAACGTGAAGGAATATATATATATATATATATATATATATATATAATACATAAACAGGCCTTATTACACGACAATTGCTGTCTTTGTTCTGTGGAAACTGATTGGTAGATGAGATGCACGTGGTGTTGAATGTGACTCTATTTTATTTATTTATTTTTTTGTGTAGTGTAAACTATAAACATTTGATTACAATAAAGGTTTTTGTATTTCTCAATGAATGAAAAACCAAACGATATTGCTGTGTTTACTGACGTTTCGATATTTAATGCTGCTAATAGCTTTATTATTATTATTATTATTATTATTATTGTATCCTTTAGTTCCTAGAGGAACATAGGGCTTCAGCTGCGCACCTCCATTGACTTCGGTTTTCTGACAACTTTTTCACCCTGCTCCAGGTCTGTCCACATGCTTTCATCTCCTCCTCGCATGACCTCCTCCAAGTCACCCTTGGACGACCAACTCGCCGCCTCCCTTTCGGGTTCCACTCGAGGGCTTGTCTAGTGATGTCACTTGATGGTTTCCTCAGCGTATGGCCAATCCATCTCCATTTCTTTCTGCCTATTTGTTTCACAATCGGTTCCTGATTGGTTCGCTCCCAGAGATCCCTGTTGCTGATCTTTTCTGGCCATCTGATCTTGAGTATTGAGCGGAGACAGTTGTTAATGAAGGTTTGAAGTTTGTTTGAGATGCTCTTTATGACTCGCCAAGTCTCTGATCCGTATAGTAGCACTGACTTCACATTGGAGTTGAAAATCCGGATCTTATTTTTGATGCTGATTGCTGTTGACCTCCACACAGATTTGAGAGTAATGAAAGCTTGTCTTGCTTTTCCGATTCTGGCTTTGATGTCCTCGTCAGTTCCGCCTGTAGTTGAGACGATGCTTCCCAGGTAGGTGAAGGAGGTTGTTTCTTTCAGGTTCTTCCCATTTATGCTTATTGTGGTCTGTTGGTGTTGTTGATGTTGGCTAGGAATCTTCATTATCTCTGTTTTATCTATGTTCACGTGAAGTCCTATCTTTGATGCTTCTTCTGCCAACTTGTTACTTTTCACTTGCATATCTTCCAGTTTATGGGAAATCAGACATATATCATCGGCGAAATCCAGATCCTCCAAGTCTTTTGTGTCAGTCCATTTTATGCCTGTTCCCTCGTTGGTTGCCGTTGTCTGTCGCATTATCCAATCAATTGCAATCAGGAAGATCATTGGTGATAGTAGACAGCCTTGCCTCACTCCCGTCCTCACTTCGAAGGCTTCCGTAAGTTTCCCGTTGTGGATTACTTGGCATGCAGCATTGTCGTATAACTGTTGGATGAGGTGTATAATTGTCGATGGGACCCCGTAGTAGCGAAGTAGTTTCCAAATGACCTCTCGATCGACGCTGTCGAAGGCCTTTTCAAAGTCGATGAAGTTGAGATAGAGAGGTGACTGCCATTCCAAGCTTTGTTCAATGATGATCCGTAGAGTGGCGATTTGATCAATACATGATTTGTTTCTCCTGAATCCAGCCTGTTCCGGACGAAGTTTTTCATCTAGGGCTTGTTTGATTCTCTCCAGGATGATGCGACTTAGTATCTTGCTTGGAATGGACAGAAGCATAATTCCACGCCAGTTTTTACATTGACTTAAGTCTCCTTTCTTTGGAAGTTTGAATAAGTAACTGTTCTTCCAATCCTCGGGTACTTTGCCCTCTTTCCACACCTTCTCCAGCAGTGGTGTCATCAAGTCCGCTGTTGTCTCTGGGTCTATTTTCAAAGCCTCTGCTGGGATTCCATCTGGTCCCGGTGTTTTCCCAGCTTTAAGCATCTTGATTGCATTCAGGACTTCTGATTTCGTCGGGGGGTCAGTGTTCACTGGTAGTTCTGCTTCCGTTGTTGGTATTGCTGGACGTGTTGTAGGTGGCGGACGATTTAGAAGTCTTTTGAAGTGTTCAACCCAGTGCTTTCTCTGTTCCACCTCTTTGGTGATTGACTTTCCATTGTCGTCCTTTATTGGCTTAATCTGTGTCGAACGTTTGCCCGAAAGGTGCCTAGTTGTTTGGTAGAGTGTGGCGAGGTCTCCTTTGCCTGCAGCTTGTTCTGCTTCGTTTGCCATGGTTTCATAATATTTTCTTTTGTCTTCCCTGGCACTTTTCTTCACTCTTTTGTTCAGTGTATTGTAGCTTGCATTCAGCTCCTGTTTTTGTTGCTCGTCAGTGCACTGGATAATCTTTTGCTTCACTGTCCTTCTCTCTTCTATTAGTTTCCAAGTGTCCGTAGTGAGCCACTGTTTGTCCTGTCTCTTTTTTCTGCCTAGAATTTCTATGCAGGTTTGGCTCCACACCGTTTTCAAGTTGTTCCAGTGCTTTTCAACGCCGACCTTTTCGCTGGTGTTGATTTGTGTCTCAGCTTTGTCCTTTATGCTTGCAATGAAGATGTCCTTTGTAGCCTGGTCCTTCAGCTTTTGAGTGTTGAACTTGGCTTGTGGTCTATCTGCAGCTCCTGATTCCCTGAAAGCTTTTAATTTGATTTGGATTGTCCCTTGTACGAGATAGTGGTCTGAGCCAACGTCTGCTCCTCTTCTTGCTTTTGTGTCCAGTAGGCTGCGCCTCCACTTCCTTGAGATTGAGATGAAGTCGATTTGGTTTTTGGTTTGCCCGTCTGGTGACACCCATGTAGCCTTGTGGATATCTTTGTGCTTGTATACACTGCCACCAATCACCAGTTCGTTGAAGGCGCAGAAGTCGGCGAAGAGTTCTCCGTTTTCATTCATTTCTCCTAGAGCTTCTCTACCCATGATGAGTTCCCTTCCCGTATTGTCTGGTCCCAGTTTGGCGTTCATGTCTCCCATTAGTATTTTCATGTCGCCAGCTGGAGTATTATTAAACCAGGATTTACAAAATCTCAGCATATATATAACAAAGAGTTAAGGGGTGAGAAAAAAGACTTAGGTCAAGTTAAAGGGACGTATAGAAATAGAATATATAGTAATAGAATAGTAATGAAGATCACTAAACCAATTATCAAAGGTAATATTACATCTGTTATGATATCAAAACGAAGTTTACTAACTTGATCATCGTTCGTCAGTCTGGGGTCGTTTTCTTTTGTTATCAACTTGGTCAATTGGTAAAGATAACAAAATCAAGTGTAGATTGTTGGATTTGATCAGTGTGTTTACATGATGAACTTGCTTATCATATTCGTTTTGGTTTTGTCACTCACTTCATGGGGGAGGGAGGTGTTGTAACCAGGTCATATTCTGTATTAGTCCATCATTCCTATTCAGGCAATTTGGATTCCACTTGATATGAAGTGCTTCTGATATCAGACGTTTTTTGTGGTTTCTGAAGTTTTTCTGGATTATTCCAATATTGTAAAAATCAGATTTGTGACCTGATTCTATAGCGTGTAGACCACCAATGGCTGTTGATTTTTCAAGCTTTTCTAGTTCAACCGGATTTCCTGATTTTCGAACAGATGCTCTACGGTGTTCATTTCCTCTGATTTTGATTTCTTGAGATGTTTTTCCGTTGTAGATCGCATCACATTCCAAGCATTTTATTTTATAGACACAATTAGGTGGAGAATCTTTAGGGATTCGGTCTTTTATATGGAGAAGGTTGTTTCGTAGTGTGTCTGACGTTTTGAAGAAAACTCTAATGTCGAGCTGATTGAGTACTCTTCTGATATCGTCTGATGTCTCTGCTCTATATGGAATGACGATTGTTGATATCCATGTTTTCGGAATGC